TGTCAGTTTCTATCCAGATTGCCTGAGTGAATGTCTAGAGGTGTAGGCACCTCGGAATGATTATGTTAAGCTAGCACTAAGTCCACCCCCCGTCCACCTTTACTCTTTTCTTTACAATAAGGCTTTCAAATAAGTCATGGTTGTATGGCAGTGAAGCATCGGTGCTGAACACTGGTGTCATGCTGCCGATGATGATGATGATGCATTTAATTGTCTTAATACATTTATAAGTAACAGTGAAGCACGCCTTTTTCTCTACGATACCGCAGATGTCATATTATTTAATTATTTTTAGCTCGAGTCACACATGATGGATTCAAAGGGCTAATAATCAAGAAGTAAACTATACATCGTTTGGTTTGATCATACTTTGCATCCTAATTGCTCTAAGTTATTCTATATGTAATAAAAATCACTTTTAAAACAGGTTGCCTCAGAAGAATGCTGGCAACAAGACACACTTTTTAAAAGTTACTCCCTTATTCGCTGGATTAAGTTGGCTGCGTTACTTAAACTCAGTATTTATTGCGCAGTCATTGGTTGGGTGTCTTATTTTTTCACAAGGACCGGCCCAAAAATGATTTTCCTAAAAAAGATTAAGCACAAGTGATTTTTAGTGTAGGTCACAGTTCAGAAATCCTTGTGCTCTTTGCTCCTGTCACCTGCATAACCATATTTTAGCGCGCAGCAGACAGGCTAATTTTTCCTTTTAAAAGTTATCCCTTCTTTAGTTTTTATAATCTTTTGTTTTTTCCTATAATTAATGATATTCTCTTTTTGAAGCCATTTATTGGGACTGGAAGACTTAACTTCGACATATGCGGCAATACCATGCACCTACAGACTTATGCGCCTCAAAATCAATATTTTGACTCCAGTGTTTGATTGATCCGGCTGCTGTTAAGGTTTGCACCGTGAAATAAACGGGGCATCAGGTTTCTTTTGCCTATAAATCTTAGTTGTTTAGAACTCATTTGTTCCAATTGTCATACGCACAAATTTCGGATCCAAGCATAATAGTTTAGCCAAATGTCCCACCGCCCTTCTCTTGCTCATGGATGTGCATCCTCGGCAAACTAGAAGCTCTTATGACAGCCTGTATAGAATTGACGTTAGCTTAACTCACTAAATGAAAAGTGGATCTGCTTAACTGAATGCTCAGTAATGTGCACCTCCGGGCAGGTAGACTAGCAACACCCACGAATAAATTCTACAAGTGAGTAAATAATCGTTTTTATTTTAGCACGGCTGTTTACGCTTTGGACACTCATTTACCGTAGGCCGAAAGCTTGCACAACTTTTTGGTTACCAGAGCGTTGGTGTACAGACACGTTGCACCAGAGACTCATCTGACTGAGTAACTTTGATTAAACGGGATGTTTGTATACATAAATAATGACTACCTTGGTTAGGCACTAATTTGGAACTGTTTGTCTGTAGTATTAATTTTTGAAACAGCCGAAATTTATTGGTTGTACCAAGCATAAAAGTGTTGTAATTAAGTGCAGAGCTCATAATGGCTGACTGTGATCTTAGAAAATCCTAGCCGAATAACAGCCTTGGTTCACTAACAAAAACAAATCTCTTGATATGAGATGATCAGAGGTTGGTGGACCGATGATTAAACTTTGCAGTCGACCACATACAGGGCTGAGATGATGGCGATGGGACATTCAACAGTACCTTACTTCTGCTTCTTTTTATTCCACACAGTCAATTCGCACCCATTCAAGACTACGCTAACGCCTATCAGAGTTTCTCGGCACTTTCGGACAGCAATTAGGTCAGGCTTAATGAAGGTAGATAACCTCATCTTCTCAAAGACGGTGTGTCCCAGGCCACGGTTGTGTTTTACGAGTTAACTTGCAACCGGATTACGACGAGCTATTTTGGCATCATGCGTCGTCCAGCGGGAATGCAGAATATGCACCAGGCTCCTCGGTTGGCCACAGTTTTCTCAACAGACCTTCTGGCCCCTATGACCATGCCAAGCGTTTCTAACTCTTGCCCTGTGCAGGTTGCATCGGAGCTGGATACCGCGGATAAATATTCAGGGAAACACATGTTCTGGAAA